GAAACTGTGGTTGGCCATGTGAGAGTTCAACACTTTAACCACCACACCACCTGCCAGTCCCTAAAAACTACATTTTTAATGGTCTACTTTTTCAAAAGGACAAGTTTTATTCCATGTGAAGCAACAATCAACCCAGATAATTTTCTAATTTCATCATCCCAAAAACACTAGTCTCAAATAGTCATCCCACCTTCAGAACCATGTGGACTCTGATTTTAGGATGCTGAAAGGATTCAGGTTTCAACCCTTCCTCTGCCTCTAACTAGCTGTAAATCTTGAGAAAACTATTTAACCCCTTAGGTGTTCAGTTTTTGCTTCTGCAGATGGAAGAAGCTGAGTGATACCCTAGGTCCATTTCAAGCCTAAATGTCTATGATTTGTGGAGAAAGAACTGTGCAGTAAGGAGTCTGCAGGATGCTCTTCTCACCCACCCTAGGGGGCCTCGTTGTGCTCTGCAGCCCATCAGGAAAATGAAGCTCACAAATAGTGAGGAGCCACCTAATGATTTAATGGGCTTAAAAATGGGCAGAGAGGTTTTAATTTTCTCTTGTAGCAGAAGCCCTGGGGCAAAGTGTACTTTACAGTGGATAATAATCACATAGGATATTTCAATTGTGCAAGATATGTTATTTGGAAATCAGGTTAAAGTCACATTCCTCTGGTATATTTTACTATCAAAACAAAATAAAAGCTCCCAAAGGAATGTTTATGCAGAGTTTAAATCTATTGGAATGCCCAGAGTACCTCTCTAAGAGTTAAGCATCTGCAAATATTTAAAACAGGGTGAAATCACAAATACTACTATTAATAATAATCTCTTTCAAGTTTGAGTAGACTAAAAAGAACCAGCAAAACCTCTGGAACACTTTTTAAACTACTGACTTGATTTTCTGATTGTCACATCTAATGACTCAAATTATAAAAAAAAAATTGAAAGAAATGCAAAAATCACCCTTTCTTTTCTTTTCCTTTTTTCAGACTTTTAAAATTATTTTTATTTATTTATTTATTTATTTATTTTTGACCAGAGAGGGACAGAGCCAGAGAGAAAGTGAGAAAGTAAGCCACCAGGTCCAAGACTTGAACCGTGGTCGACCATGTGGGAGTCCAGTGCCCTTAACCACTATGCCACCTGCAGGCCCCAAAAACCACTCTTTCAAGCACATGATCAATTTGAAACATACAAAACTAGAACATGTAGACCAGAGGCCCCCATCTCTGGACCACAGAGGCAGGTGGTTGGTGTGGGGAGGGGGGGGCGTTGGCCCCTGGGAATAAGGATTCTCCTGTGTTTGCAGTCACTCCCCATCTCATTGTTGCCTGGGCTCCTCCTCCTGCTGGATCAGCTGTGGTATTGGTTTCTCACAGGAGTGCAAGCCCTACTGTGTGATTGTTTCATTGTATATTGTAATGTGGTAGTGGTGGAAATAGGGCCCATGGTGGATGTGATGCACTTGGGTCATCCTGGGACCAATGCTCCCCCATTTCTCTGTCCAGGGAGAGATTGTCTCCTACAAGGGCAGTCCCTGGTGCTGGGAAGGTTGGGGAACCACTTATGTAGAGGACAGTGAGGAGTTTCTTTTGTCTGGAAAACTTTCACAGTAATGCTATCACATGCAGACTGGGCTACATGATCAAAGAAAGTAAGACTTTCTGCCTGGATTTTCAGGATTGAGATCCCCAACTCCTACCTACATGCATCATCGCTTTATATGTTACTCTAGTTTTTTAAAATTTTGTACTAGACATAGTACTAGATTCATGTCATCTTATTTAATCGTCTCAACAATATTGAAAAGTCATTGTGTACTTTATCACTCGATGATAGAAACCAGTGGTCCTAACAGGTTGTGTATGTGCTGAAAGCTGCTTTTTCTTTAAATGCCAAAAAACATTGAAGGAAGACAGTCTTTGCTCATACACATTCATTATTTGTCCATTTGTTTATTCACTCATTTTTTTTTTTTTTTAGAGAATTTTTGCTACATCATTCATGTGTTCACCAGAAAGACAGAGAAAATTAGAAAGTGAGAAATCACTCTCCAGGGGGGATGGCCACACCACAATCTCTTCTCCTCTGTTTCTCCATCCTTTTGGGATTTGGGGCACAAACACACACACCTGGCATGAGTTTTAAGCCACTGGGTCTGGGATGCGAACCACGACTGACTACTTGGGAGTCCAGCAATGTAAACATGACACCATCTGCTTATCCCATTCTATTATTTTTTAATTGCCAGAGAATGCATGAACTCATCAGAGAGATAAGAGAAAGAGAAGTGAGGAAGAAAGCACTCCCACCGATGGTTATGCCACAATCTCTTCTCCTCTGTTTCTCCATCCTTTTGGGATTTGGGGCATTCATGTGTACCTGGCATGTTTTTCAAGCCACAGGGGACTGAGACTCAAACCACAGTCTGCCACATGGGATCGGCTCATTTAACTACTAGGCCACAGGTCATCCCTGAGCTCATTCGATTTTTAACATACTCAACTCCCAAGGAAACATTCCCACTGGGACCAGCAGGTGATGTAGTAATCAAGGCACTGAACTCCCACATGGCTGATGGTGGTTTGAGTCCCAGACCCGGTGGCTTGAAAATCATGCCACGTATGTGTCCAAAATCCCAAGAGGAGAATGGGAGAGAAGGGATTGTGGACTGGCCATCCTTTGTGGGGAGTGAGTTCTCACTTTCCCTATCTCTGTTTCTTTCTCTTTATGGCAATAATTCTTAAAAGAATGGAAAAAAAAAAAAAAAAAAGGAAACATTCCCACAAAGCCAGCCCACTCATTGCTTCCTTTCCTGATTTCAGAGGAGATGAGGACCCAGAAATGTGCTCTCAGTGTCTTTGCCTGCTTTAGCTGATTACTCCTCACATCTTGTCTTTTCTGGGCTAATTTATAAAATTCGTCTCTGGAGAGGAAAGGAATCAAAAAGAAAAATAGAGAGGGAAGACATGTTAAGGACATGGAGGATCGTCTGTTGATGATAATGTGTGTAAATCTTCAACGGGACTGGTGTGAAGTGTATTCATGGTGGGTAAATTCATTTTACAAGCCGTAGTGATGTACAGTGAGTCAATGTATAAAATAAAAGAAAATAATTTCTTTAAAAAAGAAAAATTCCATTCGGCTTGGCCTTGGGACCATTTTCAAAAGACATCTCCTTTGGAGTGGAATTTTGCAAACAGAAATAGCCTTTTAGCAAGGAAGAGAAAACAGAGCCTTTTTACATTAGTGCATGGTATTTCTAATAATCTACATAGATGCTGTTTTTGTTTGTTTTCTTTTTAGCATCCTTCTCAGTGCCTCTTGAAAGCCTCCATGATATACAAAATAGCTACTGACTAATGTGTTCTGGCAGAAAAATGAGCCTCAGTATTACTGAAAACATGTTTTTGTCACCAGTTCTTGTTCAGGTCATTGAGTGGCTTTTCTCTGATGGAGGGGAGTAGAATTTACCTCTAATAAAACCTCAGGGAGAGGAGAGAAATGACATTTTGACCTACCCCAGCATTAGCAAAATGCAAATCATAGTCAATTTTCCATAAGGTGGTGTTTCAATGGTTTGCTGGTCTGTAGTTGTGCTTTAATCTGAAAACGTTTTTTTTTTTTTTTCAGCAACGTGAATGGAGGTTACATGAAGCAGAGTGTGAGTAAACAACTGTGAAAAGCTGCTTTAAGCAGCTTTCAGCTTAGTGACTGAGATAATGCCTTTTCTCTAGAGAAGTTCTAAATATAGAGGAGTAATGGCTAGCAGTTAACCACAAGCTACGCCGTTCTCCCCTAAAGAAGCAGGGCAGAGATTGCAGTATGAGAGGCTGAGGAAGGATGCAGTACTGACAGGTGCCCGTGGGAGTGGCAGGGTGGTTTCGTTTCAGCCTTGTTCTTCCCAGGTAGAAGTGTGCGTGGTACTTTGCAAACCGTGCAAGTGGGTGATGAGGATGTTAAGTAGGAGAAAAGAATGCTCTTCATTACTCTTTTGTAAAGAGCGGGTTACAGTTCAGCCGTCATCAGTCCTTCTCATTTCCCTATAACTGGTCAGCACGGTTAGGCTTCCTTTCCACAGGTGAGATTATATCCTGCTGACATCGACAGGCGGAGGGGTGCACAAATGTACGGAAATGGAAATTAAGCTCGAAGGGTAGCATTTGCTTTGATATTTGCTAGATGTCCCTCCTTCTGATGATGTGAGATATACTGGTTACTGGCAAGTATTGGCTTTTTATGTTGAGACTGCGAGGGCAGGATTATCAAATCCACAGATGCCTAAAACAATTTTCAGTGTGGATAAAGAATGATTACTTCTTGGACTTTGTTTCTAGCTCTGAAGAACAAAAAAACTAATAATTTAGCGTAATGCTTGTATAAATTATGCTATATTAATAAAAAGCTCTCTAGTCAAACTGATACCAATAAATGCATTTTAATCAGAATTTATAGACATCTAAAGGAAAAAAAAAATCAAAGTTTCTCTCATAGATGACCTTTATCAAAGATGCCTCAGCTAAGTTACCCTCAGATGCTTCAGGGAACAATTTCAGCCCAGATGAAATGAGACAAGATGTGGCTGGTTATTTAACAAGATCCCTTTCTTTAGATCAAATTTTACTTCTATTTTTTCTTCAGAAATTAGAGCTTTCTAGAGATTTTGGATTTTGGAGGTGACTTGGTGTTACAGCGGCTTAGATTTATAATTTCTAATTAAAATGTATCTTTCATATCAATTTGAGAGAAGTAACTAGCAAGCTTAATCCGTGGCATTTAATCACTGAAGTTTGTTTTGACATTTCGAGAACATGGAACCTAATACTAAGATGTGATTACTGTGCAACAGATTTCTAAGGAAACTGACATGCCGCATAAGAAGTCGTAAACACAGAAAATGGACTAATCTTGTGGGGAAAGGGAAGAGAGAGAGGATCTTGATGATGTCAAGTCAAATAAAAATAACTGTAAAGCAGAAGTTATAAGGAAAACAGGGAGTTTATTGACTTTACAAAGCTAGTAACACACAAGGGTCATACCCTGGGGCACGTGGTTAGGCCCCTCCCCTCCCCCAAGCAGCATGGCCAGATGAAAATGACAAAGTGTCCCACCAACCCTGAAAAGGCGACAGTCCTTTTGTTAGTGTAAAGGTCACGGTACATATAAATTCTGTAAGAGTTTACACTGGGCAGAGATAATAGAAGAGTTGGGGAAGAGACTCAGGATTGGGAAAAGGATTGGAGAAGCTGTCTGAAGCAATTTGTTGGCAGCAGGATTCATGATCAGCCTTAGGGGAACTGCAAACCTGGAACTGTCTTGAGAAAGAAGGTGGCATAGTCGACAGGGAGGAACTGCGATTGGTGAGTAGACTGTTCAGTCACTTCTTCATGGTTTTCTTCTCTCTCCCCTCTTTATCTTTAAATTTCTATATGGAAATCTCTTTTCTAGGTAAACTTTTATCTTCACAAGTCAAAAAACCTCAAATGAAACGCACAATTTTCCAGTTGCTTCTCTCTGAGATCTGACCTTGTATACAGTATGTAAATGAATCCCTCCTTTGGTTAAGCATTACTGTTTTATCCATAGGCCCTTTTGAATGTAAAAGTAAGTTTTCTAACTAACACCAAAGGCCAAGTATTCGGTACACTCTGTGGGAGCCAGTGGTCTTACCTATTCTGTTACTGACCCCAAGTTCACATGTCTGCCGCTCAGCTTGCCAAGAATGGAACAACATTACAAGGAAGGAAAGGGTTTTGATTCTAAGAGCAGCTCAGTGTGGAAGTGAGAGTTAAAACTCAAGTTCACCTGGGTTTTTAAAGAGGCATCAATTGGGCCAGCAGGTGGCATGGTAGTTAAGGAGCTGGACTCTCATATGGCCAACAGTGGTTTGAGTCCCAGACCTGGTGACTTGCTCTCTCACTTTCTCTATCTCTCTCTTCTTCTCTAGTGCACATATGTGCCTTATAGAAAATTAAAAACATAATAATAAATAAAATTAAATAATTTTTTAAAAGGAGGTAGCCAGGCACATGGGCAAATGTGACTGGCGATAAGAAAAAATGAAATAATCATTAGTGTGCAATCAAGTCCTGTCAGGTCGTACATTGTGTGTTCACGGACATAATGTATGATATTATCATATATCAATGTGCCCATCAATCACTGTGTAGACCGGTGGCTTGGGCTGTCTGGAATTGACTTCAGCTGGCTAAGAGGCTGACTCATCTTGAACAAAATATCTTGTGACCCTTTGGTCATAGAGATGTTGTCCACAGGAGCAGTGACAGGATCTGAACTACTGACACATTAACTTGGCTACTGATAGCCCTAGAGCAGGGCAGATATCTATTCATTGCATATAGGAATAAAGGTTACGTCTAAGTTTGCTAGAACTTAGCCCTAACAAGATATCCCCTGACTTCAGTCTTCCTTTCTGTTTGTCCATTCGGTTTCTGCTACTGTGACTACTTTTAAGATTCATCAGTAAGCAAGTAGAAGCAGGACAATCTGGAAGATTATTTTCCTGTACTAAAGAGTCTTTGTTAACTTCTAATACCACTGCAGTTGCCCAGCTCTCGGAGCCTGGCAGGATGTTCCTGTACTGTCTGTGAGGACAGAGGGATTTAAGAAGTGTCCCTTCCACTGCCCATGTTCTGGAAGAAATCCACTGCATGGATTTGTCAGCTGGGCTCCTCCAGCCAGCCTTGACCTTCCTGGCACCAGATAAAGAAGGACCGTCCATAGCTGACCTTGCTAAAGGGACGGGATTTAAAACCTGGTAAGTAGAACAATGATATGAGTAACCTGAAGTCTTTCATTTTAAGCTTTGGAGAGGAGACCGCTAGACAAAGATCTGAGAAGAATGGGGGTGTCAGTGCCGGACACACACAAGTATGAATTCCAGTTCTGACACTCAGTAGCTCTCTGGCTTTGGACAAGTTATTGCATATCTCTGTTCTTCCATTATATCCATTATAAAATGGAGAATATAATACCTACCTTTGAGAGTTACGATGAGGTCTAAATGAGATACGATGTGTGATATGATATACTTAGTATGGCTTTGGCTAACGGTAAGAATTCAATACCTTTTCATTCCTTTCTCTTTTCTGCTCTTTGTCTTCCCTTATAGCTTTGGAAAGAATTATTTTATTTTATTTTTTTTGCTAGAGGGTACATGCTTTCACTGGAGAGAGAGAGAGAAAGAGAGAGAGAGACAGAGAGAATATGAGAAAGCAAAGCATCCTCCCATGAGGAATGGTCACACCACAATCCCTTTTCCTCCATTTCTCCCTCATTTGGGGACTTTTGGCATGCACACACGTGTACCCGGTGTGTTTTTCAAGCCGCAAGGTCCACAACTCAAACCATGTGGTTGGCCATGTGGGATTCAGCGGCCTTGACACTACAGCACAGGTTGACCTAGAAATAAATTTGTTTTATTTTATTTTATTTATTTATTTATTTATTTATTTATTTATTTTTGAGAGTTTTTCGCTACAGGGCGCGTGCGCTCGCCAGACAGACAGAGAGAGACATA